TATATTATATTATATTATACTATATTTTATTATATTATACTATATTATACTTTATTATATTACAATATATGCTATTATAATATATTAGAATATTTCTCCGGTTTTGAGCAGATTGGGAGGCTGATCGCGACATACTGGCGGTGGACGAATGGCAGAAGGCATGGGGCCGGAGCTGTGCTTGAGGAAGTTGTCACCGTTCAGACCTGGGAGTGTTCAGTTCAGGTCTTCGCGGACTGAGGGCACAGACCCTTGTGTGCCGAATCTGTTTGCACCTTCGTAGCATCCTGAAGTTCATGGAAGCTGCGATGAGCGCTCTTAGCTGCCAAGTGCAAAAAGTTCCTCCAAGTGGTCTGCCAGGACCTTGTCAGGCTCCGGAGCTACTTCGTGGTGCTGCTGCTAGGTACATCATGGAGCTGATTGAGATCGAAGAGAAAGCCCGGCGACTGGTGGTTCAGGCACGAAAGCCAAAGCAGGGGGTCGAAGCGAACCGTTCCGGCAGTGCCTTTCAGGCGATTGAGCGCGAGAAGAAGCTCCAGTCTATTGAGGCACAGACTCCTGAAAGCTTGAGCTTGTCGGGCTGGCATTAGGGGAGTGTCGACATGCACGTCTATGACCTGCTACCGAGGGTCCATGGTAAGTGTCCCTTATTGTACAATTTTCTATATGGACATACATATACATAGACATATACATATACATATACATATACATGCACAAACATACACATCTACAGCGTATGTGAAGTACGCGCGCACGCACACAGTCACGCACCTGTGTATGTGCAGTATGGGCATGCCTTCGAGTGCCCCACTTCCGCTTCTGCCATTTTGAGATGTTTCGCTTAAGGCTCGCAGTCTGGAAGCAGACGTGTTTCAGCGGCCCGATTACCAGGAGGCACCGCTTCGGGTCAAGCTCGGCCGACTTCTCCTATCACACGTTCTGCATGACAGGAGTTGAGGCGATTTGTGGCCTGCATTGCGCACCTCAACTCTGTGGCGAACGTTCGTCGCAAGGTCCGTGGAACTGAGCAGGGCTCAACGAAGCCAGTTGAGCATGCGCATGCACTGCAGCACAGGGAAGGGACGACCTAAGCATGGATGTCCTCTTGGATGCCATGCAGACGTTCGAAGCTCGGGAGCTTTTGTAAAGGGACGCTTCACGCACGTGGTGCTCAGGCTTTCCAAGTGCGATGCAGCGGAGAAAGGCCGCTGCAACATCTGCACGTTGTGCTGGCTTTGTTCGTTGTGCCTTCATCAGGTGGCCAAAACTCTGAGAAGTTGGCGGCTGCAAGAAGCCTTACGAAAGACGTCTTGGATTCCTTCACGGCCATGAGGGAATACCTGAGAGAGGTCGGAACGGACCGACCCCCGAAGTAGTTCTCCTTCACGTTTTCGGAAGGTCGCGCGATGTCTTGAAAGAGTTGATCCGCACCTCTGCGGCTCAGCTTGAGAAGGCATTAGTTGCCTCAGGCACCAGTTGTTGTTGGGAATGCCAGGTAACAATGCAGGATTGGTGGCGAGACTCGTGGACTGGGAGGAAAGCTGGGAGGCTTCCGTCGGTTTAAACGCCAGAACAAGATGCATATGTTCGCCTCCCCTCCTGTGTGTTCCAGAAATGACGCTGCCACAGGTCGGAACTCGATACGTCCAGCAGGAGAAGATGTTGACGGCGGTTGCGACCCCGAAGCTCACAAGTCAGAGTCGCGCTTGTGTTCCACTGCGAGGTTTGCGACCTGGTCGCAGAGATCCGGGCAGCGCAGCGACTCACACCGGCCCCTTGGTGGCACGAAGTGATCTTCCGCGCTTACGCGATGCTCACACCATGCGAGGTTCTGGCACAGATGTGTGAAGAATGCGACGTCGAGATGTTTATGGTGCTTCCCAGGCACAGCATTCACAGCGTCTTGCCGGCTGCACACGATGCAAAAAACACACCGTCGCGACGGAAAGGTTGGCATGGCTCAGATACTTGGACAAGCGAGCGTCTCAGCAAGTAGGAGCTCAAGCGCTGCCTCGAGAACGGATAAGGTTGTGTGTTTCTCCAGGCCGTGTCAGCTCTCCGGTCTCTTCAAGAGCCTTTTGCCTCACAGGTGCCGGCCTTAATTTCCATTCGCGGGACTACGCAGTCTTCATTTACATGGCTGAATGCGTTGAGATGCATTAAGTGTGAGGTTTGCTGACAGCAACATGGTGCAGAAGGAGGATGTTTCGCATTTCTGTTCAAGTAGCTTCGGACCAGTTGTTGCACGGATTGTGAGACGTGAGACTCGCCTTTGTCTGCAGGCGCCTGAACCCAGCGATCCGGAGCTAATCAGCTTGATGCAGAAGTCAATGGCTCAGCCATCAAGTTTGCCTCTTTCTCGCCCAGTTGCAGCCTTTTGAAAGGTTTGGGCGGACCAAGCAGCTCTTGATGGAGACCATGAAGCCCAGCCAAGGCGAGAATCAACTTCACACACTTTTTCTTTAGAAATCGGCCTGCCGCCAGGTGGAACACTGACCACTGGCCGCTTCGAAGATGCCGCTTGGGAAGTGCTCGTGAAGCGAGTCGTGAATGGAGTCAACGGGGAGCTCTCGCAGTTGCACTTCCTGCGGTTCATGATCTTGTGTACTGTATTTGTTTGTGGTTTCTTTCGGGGTTGCGGTCGGCCAGGACATATATACAAACGTATGTCCCACTCTCCGGGAGCCTGTGGAAAAGGCCGTTGAGGATCCTGCAATGCTCTTTGTTTTGTGTTTTTGGCATTCTGCCTGCTTCTTTTCTGTGGCAGGAGCTCATGCGTGATTTAGAAGCTTGGAGCATGGAGCTGGCCAGACATTGTCCAGAGGACGATGCGCCCTCGCCTTGTGTTAGTGAAAGCGGGTTCTTTTGAAAGCGGCGATGCAGGACTGGAATCAATGCTGCGGCATTCTTGTGCAATGCTTATCTGGAAGTGAGAAGGAAGGGAGTAAAGGACCCTTCCGTGTCAGGACCTTAACGCTTCAAACTCATGTCACGTAACTAGCATGGCCTTTGCGTTCGCAAGGTCTGAGATGGTGTAGAAGTCGGCTTCACACGAGAAGGCGACTACAGTTCTCAGCCAAGTGCGCTGTGTTCCGAACTTCCGTGGTTTCTCGAGTGACCCAACATAACATCTACTCGCAATGGCATGGTGCATGATTTAAGCCTGGGGTCACTCATCGCATTGTTGATAGCAGACAGGTAGCGTGGAACTTGCACGCGGTCGCACGAACGCGTCTGCCCTGTAAATGAATCCTTAGCTGGCTACAAGGCGTAGATCTGGCTAGCACTTAGCATTATACGCGGCATTTTCATGTGGTGCTGATCTTCCTACATGTTGAAACAAGAGATATCCAGAGGAGCATCACACTTGCCGCATTCGTCATACCTTCATTGTCTTCCCAAAGGGAACTTTACGGCTCGCGTGCGTCGAACGCGAATCTTCGGCTAGCATATCTACTGGCAGCAGGTAGCTGGTGTTTTTACATTTGCGATGAAGCGCAGCCGTGCACGAATTTTGATATCCTTCCTTGCCTACCCGATGATGGCAAGAGGAGTGCAGCATGCGTTGCACTGCCAAACACTCAGTCTGCCGAGCAGCGCATGGGTTCTGGCCCAACTAGAATATGTTTTTTCTATTTGGCGAAGCGGCGAAAGCCTCGGGCTCGAACTGCGAAGCAGTTGCTGTCCACTCAATAGCTTGGGATAGAGAGTTAATCCACATGTAGACGTAATGCAGACATAGATACCCACCGTGGTGGTACTACCGCAAGAAGTAAACCTGCCATTCGCTTGTAAACCTGGCGTCTATCGCCTATAGCTTCGGAGCGCCGCTGGGAAAAAGTGCGCTTGCAGTGTTGCGGTTTTCTGGTTCGATAGACTAATCCTGGGGTCTTACATTGGAAGCACGAAGACGAGAGACGGACAACTTTGTTCGGGCAGAGAAGGGTGGCCATGGAAGGTATGTCCGCAGGTGGGCTCAATCTGTCCTACTCGCCTTTAGGGTCCCATGCTGGGTGAGGCTGAGAATGATAGCTTCCGACAGGCCTTCTGGGCCTCATTGTTTCTGATCATAGCCGCAGCCTTCGGTCACGCAGCGATTTACGTCTGTGACCAGGGGCGGACACGAATCATCGAGATTGAACACGTTCGCACTCGAAGCGTGGATGTGGATACCTTGCTTCGACGACTGCCTGAATCGGTGAGCAAAACAATCCATCAGACGTCCACGCCTCATGGAACCACCTTTCAAGTCCTTATGCTCTTGGCTGCTCTGCTCATTCTGTCCAGCGAGTTTCCAAAGCACGAATTCGTGCAGAAGAGTTTGAGCATCCGCTCCATGGGCTTCGAAGTATGCCGTTGCCTCTGCCCTGTTGTGGGAATTCTTATGCTCATCTTCGTTCCAATGTCACATGACTTCATTGTTATGACCGATCGTTTCAAGCAGCCAGGCTACAAAGTCACTCGAGAAGACAAGGTTATCTTCTATGCAAACAAGATGCAGGAGGACATGCACACGGCTGCCGGAGCTCTCGCGTTCGCAGTCACTCCTGCGCTTGAAGGCATGTATTCACCTCCTGAGAGACCCGCGTCCCACTCCTTACTACTTGGGGTTGAGTAAAACCAGTACTTGCATTTTCAGAGTTGCCGGCCGTCGTGCTTAGGCTCAGTGTAATTGGATCGGGAATCTGTTGTCTATCTTGTGCAAACATACAGCAGCATGCTGTGAATACAATGTCAAGTGGTAAGGAATAAGCGCGGCCACCGGTCCCTTCCTCGTGTCAAAACAGAAGATTCTTTTTGTTCTTCTTTATTACTATTGCTGCTGCTGCTGCTGCTGTTGCTACTACTACAACAGCTGCTACTACTTCTCCTTCTTCCACTACTACTACAACTAACTAATAGCACAACAGCAACTAGGATGACCGATACAATCACTCCTGCCTCTACTACCACAACTACGACCACAATTACTATTCCCACTACAACTACAACAACAACAACA